CGGGCTCCCACGGCCGCGGACTCACCCAGCCGTCCAGGCTGCTGGGGGGCCGGGACGCGCCCGGCGTCCGCGGCGGGGACGTGGGCAGGCTCTCGCGGCGGTCCTGCGGAGAGAGCAGAGGGGGTGCGGGCGAGCGTTAGTGTTGGGGTCCTCCATTCCGGGGTGTCAGAAGAGACCGGGTGCAACCCGCCCATTGCACAGGCAGGGGGCCAGCGACCAAAGGCGGGTGGCGCCTGCAGTAGGGCGCAGGTGCCCCGCTCGGCCCAGGCGCCTGAAGGAGCGCGCTGCCTGCCCCTGCCTCCGGCAGCCAGGCGGGCGACCGGTCAGGCCCTCTCGCTTTGGAGACAGCCCCCCACGCTTACTGAACTTGGGCAAGTTGCTTCAGCAGCAGAAGCAGCTGGAAACCTCTGGGCTTCATTTCCTCCTCTGTAAAATGGGGGTCTCATACCAGCATGTACCCTATAGGGTGGTCGTGAGAACTGAATGAGCTGACTAACGTAAAAGAGTATTACATGTAGGAGACGACTCCCTGGAGAAAGTGCTCACTAGATGTCAGTTACCATAAACACTGGAAGAATTCACATGAAACGAACCAAAGTGGTTCCTTAGGAAATGGGGTGAGCGGGGCAAGGTACAGTCCCGGGGATGGGAATAAGGCCTGTAATGTATTAGTTTTTATGTAAGTTTAGATTTTGGAACCATATGGATGTATTATCTATTCAAAAATTAAAAAGCAAAAATATTGATCATTATGGAGGTTGGACTTAGGCAGAGGCCCTCTCAGCACCAACCCCATTGCCATGTTGCCATGGTCACCTTCTGATTTTTTCCTTGGATCTCACTGACAGATGGAAACACAAAAGGAAGTCGGGTCCTCCCCTGGCAGCACACTCACGGGACTTCTTGCTGGCATGGGGTGGGGAGTGTGGACATCTCTGAGGTTATAAAGCACTGCTCTGCTAGACACTCTCGTATTTGTTTCCTGCCTACTCAGGGACTTTCCAGTCTACAAGGCTCAGTCTCATCCTTGGTCTCATTAGATCCCTCACAACAGACTGGTGAGGTAGCTGGCATTGTCCTACCCATTTTACAATGATGAAGATGAAGTTCAGAGGTGTGAATAACTATCCGGTGTGTTCTGCCCACAGGAAATGTGTGTGTGTGTGTGTGTGTGTGTGTGTGTGTGTGTGTGTGTGACTGTCTACTGCTTGAAGGCTACATCATGCTTAAACAGTTTAAACTGGTAAGAAAGTGCAGGGAGTGGGGGTCTATGCCCAGCATGTATCTGCTAAAACATCCAAGTGTTCATCCAATCAGATTCCAGCAATAAACCAGTCCACCCATCCTTCAATCCAATCCAAATTCACCACCAGTCATCCCTGAGTCCAGAATTAGCCAGTCCATTCAATGCCTCCTACCCAGTCAATATCTCATAACACCCATTCTCTAGTCCAGTCAGTAATCAGCCACAGCCAAGCCATTCAGCCTCTCATCCAATCAGAATCTGATTTCTCCCAATCAAAAGGAAGCAATAGACAAAGTTTGTTTTCTCCAATGTAGCAGCTACTAAATGAGTCCAGACTGAGAATCTGAGCCCATTAACCGGACGGGAAAAGTGGTACAGCAGTCTGAACAGGAGTTTTTCATGGGATGGGAATGCTGAAGGGACCCAAGGCCTCAGTCATCAAGTAGGAAAGTTAAAGCTCGGCATGGGATCCACCCCTTTTACTCCCAGGGTCAGAGTTGTGTATACGTGAGCCACAGACACTGGGAGCTGCTCTGTCTGTGCTACATCCCAGAAAGCTTGCCGCCAGCCCAGCTGAGGGAAGTGGGGCCAAGAGTTCGTGATCAAAGCCCATCAACACGCACTGAGGCAGAACAACCAGGGCTCTTTAGGCAGAAAAGTAGGCTGAGGCAGGGGGAGCCGTAATAAATGTCTGAAATCTCTAAGGGTTGCTTCTGCCTTTGGTGGCCACAGGGGGAAGGCTAGGGCGGGCAAGTGGCAGGAATAACAGGACTTCTCAAGCCTGTATTGGAATGTTGGGGGAGGGTGAACAGCTCCTCGTCATTTGGAGGTGGGCCAAAGTCTGACCTCATTGGAACTGCCAGGGCTAGATACTGACTCTGTGTGTGTATGGGGGGTGGGGGGTGTGGAATGGGGTGCACAGTACAAAAAGGCTGCAGGAAATCAGAGCTGTTCACTTTCTGGCAATGATCTCAATGCATCTGTATGCACCTGTATACACTGGAACTCCTCTGAAAAACACATGGGTGAAAATTCAGAAAGTGCACCCACTTAAGCCAGCCCCAGCCCCAAAGCAGGGCACATGTGTGGGGTTGAAGGCATGAGGAGAGCAGAGTCAGGCAGGAACTGTTAGCGACCAGAGCTAGCTCCCAGACCACCTCTGCAATCCTTTCACTGCCTGGAAGGGGAAACTGAAGCCCAGAGGTGGGAAGGGGTTGTCTGAGGTCACACAGGAGTCAGGTGCAGATCTGGGACTAGAATCCAGTTCTGACTCTCGATGGCAGTTTGTTCCCCTCCACCAGGGGCAGAAACTCAGTGTTTTCAGGAGGCAGGTGGTGATGAACATGGGAAATGGCCACATTTAGATATAGCAGGGAGAGGAGGGGACCTGAGGGGACCGGAAAGCATATGCTCTGGCTAAAGGCATTTACATTCCACTTTAAAAGAACTCAAACAAACCTGGACTGTAAGAGGTTGTAGGTTTTCTCCGTGCTCTACAACCTTCTGGGCCAAACTCTGCAGGGAGGAGAAAACAGAAGAGCGTGCTTCCCACAGGGTTCTGGTTTCCGGGAAGAGGGGGCACCTCACTTCCACGCCGGCACACATCTGTGCCCGGGGCTGATGCACACACGCAGCAGACGCAGGCAGCACGCGAGACGCACCACACGTTCACACACGTAACTGAGCAGTCCCGCCCCGAGTCCCAGGCCAGAATCAGGGAGGAGGGCGACAGCCCTGACCACCAAGCCAGCGAGCACGGAAGGAAGAAAGAAGCAAGACAGATTTGAGGCAGAGTGTATTGAGAACAGGAGAGAAAACAAAGTTGGGGAAGAGAGCGGCCGGCCTGGCCGCAGGCGCTGCAGGATGGAGGGTGGGCTCTTCGGCGGCTGGCCCTCAGGAGGGAGCGGGGCCCAGGGGCAGGGGCTTCACTCTGTTCTGGGAGGGGGCTGGCAGGAGTCGCTGAGCTCACTCATGACTTCCCCATACATGCCCCCTGCATTCTGGGCAGAAGGAACTCACTGGGAGGGCACCCCCTGTTCCCATGGAGATGAGCCCGGAGCTCAGGAAAACTGCAGGCTCAGCCCAGCGTGGGCACCGCCTCCACCACCCCTCTCCCCACAGGGGAGCCCAGAAATAGGGCTGGGAAAGAGAAAGTGGGTGGTGCTCAGGCCCCAGCATTGGGAATCTTCCATCTGAATTCTGCCTCTTGCCTCTGTCTTCTCATCCCCCACAAAGCTTGGTTTGGGGGGGCTGTAGCACATCAAAGCTGTCAGATGGTAAAGCTCTCATACTACCTGACTCAACACCCTCACTGTGTACTAATAGTGAGACCCAAAGATACACATGGAGACTGAGACCCAAAGATATACATGGAGTCAGTCTTTTATATCCCTGCCTTTTCCTCAAAACCGTAAGGTCTCCTCCGTCCCTTCTCACTGAGCTGCTGTGCTCCCGCCCAGCCCTTACCCCGCTCCCACGGTCTCCAGCAGTCCTGCACCTGAGCCATCCCTACCTAGGCTTCTGATCTTCTGGCTCCTCCAGCAGCTCATTTCAGCCACACCCTCCTCAGAATGTCCTTGCAGACATCTAATCTCCATCTGTCCTATGGCAACTGCCCAGTTCCTTCCCCTCTCTTCCCAGGGGACTGCCATCACTTACAAGGCCTTTCTCCAGAAGCACCAGCCTATCCTCTCAGTCCTTACAGACTGTCACAGCTCTTAGAGCCCCCATAAATGACAAAACTGAGGCCCAGAAAGGGAAAGTGACTTAGTCAAAGTCACACAGCAAATGAGAGGCTGAGATGGGACCAGACCCTCCCCTCCTGCCTGTCTCCCTTCCACTGCACAGAGATGGATGCTTTTAGTTGGGCAGATCCTGGCCAAAGTTGAAGCCAAACTAGCCCTTGGATACCTTGCCAGGGGCTCCTCTCCTCGCTGCACACCCACATCTGCACATCCTCCCAGAGGGCTCTCCATCTCTCAGGGGCCCCTTGGGACCTCCCCTACCCCAGAACAGTGAGGGCAAGCCAGGTGGAACCAGGCCGGAGGTGTGGGGTGAACTGCTTTAGCTGTCCCTAAAGCGGAGCCAGACGTTTGGAGAAGGCATGGAGGCAGCTGAGCAGAGGGAAGGGGAAAAGCATCAGACAGCAGTGGTGGGCTGTCTTCATCCAGGAGAAAATGTGGAGGCCGAGGCAAAGCCCCCTGAAGCAGCAGAGAGGAAACGGTGTCCAGAAGGCAGAGGTGGGAGAGACAGACCCGTGGAGGTGAGAATTCAGCAACAGGCAGAAATGCCAGGAGCCGGGGCCACGTGAGGGTGGCCCCCCTGGGGCAGCTGAGGAGGCAGCCCCCCGGCTGGCTGTTCCACAGGCTCTGACAGGTTCTGTTTATCCAGAAGTCCCCGTTAGGACCCCCTTCTAGGCCATTCCCCAGCAAGACGCTGGCATCCCAATAGCTCACAAAGGCCAGAGGAAGCCCCAGCCTCGCTGCGACCTGCCTTGGGAGCTCTCTCTCCATGACCCTCCTCCCACCCGGCAGCAGACTCTGTATCCCTCTGACATGAAGTCCAACCACCCTCGTGGCAGGGGATGGGCAGAGGGGAGGTGACTTGCCCAGTGTCACAGAGCTAGCTGGTAGCAGCATCAGCCCTCGAGCCCTGAGTCCCCATACTCCTGACTCTCCGCCCTGTGCCACTTCCTGCCACCTCTGCTTTCCATCCTGCCCTCAGAGAGGGGACCCTGACGGGCAGTGGGACCCCTGTGGGGTCCGTTACTTGAAGCAGAAGGAAGGCTTCCACACCTGAGCCTCGATCCCGGCATTCCGGGTAGAGAAGGAGGGCCTGGGGGCCTGCTTGGCTCGCGGAGACCAGGCCCTGGAGGGAGACACGGGGGAGATGTCACTGCTGTAGGTCGGGCTCACAGCGGCGGGCTGCAGGCCGTCCTGGCTGGGGGCCGTGTAGAGGCCTGGCGAGGAGCGGGAGGGCCGAGGCAGGGCGGGTGACCGAGGCAGGGTCGCCTTGGGCAGGCTGGGCACCAGGTCCAGGGAGCTGGGCTTGGCGGGTGAGGTGGCTCTTGGCGAGGCCTTGGTAGGTTCCTTGATGGGAGAGAGGACGTAGAGCGAGGGCCGCAGCTGGTATGGTGGCTGCGGCTGCTTGGTGGGCTCCGGGCGCAGGATCCCATTCTCAGGCAGGTAGCCGTGGTAGAGGGAGGCAGGTGGGGTCCGAGCTGGGCTTCGGGACGCCACTCGGAGGCTGCCAGAGGAGTACTTCCAGGACGAAGGCAGGGACATAGTGGGCGAAGGGCAGCGGGCCAGTTCCGCGTGGCCCGAAGACTCGATGACGTACTTCTCCATGCGGGACTGGCGGCGGGCATAGAGCTCAGCTCCTTTCCCGGAGGCCTCGGACAGGTTCTGGTTGGGCTTGGGCTTCGGCTTGGCCTGGATGCGCGGGGACTTGAGGCACGAGGCCCACTCAGGGACCGCATTCTCAGCTGCGGTGGGGCTGTCCCTGTCCCTGTCCCTGGGTGCTGGCTCCTGCTGGAAGTTGGAGGCCTCAGCCCCCAGCGCAAAGGGCTCCTCCTCCCCGCCAGCCTCGCCCTGGTCCCTCTGCCTCCGCTTTTCATCAGCCGTCTGTACCAGGTCCAGCAGGTCCGGATTTGGAGTCACCTTGGGCTTCTCCACGAAGGTGAACATGGATTTCCGGCTGCCCCTCCGGGCCATAGACTCCTCTAAAATGCCCGTCTTGCTGGCCGGAGCTGCCTGGCTCTTCAGATGGGAAGGCTTGGTGTCAGAGCTGGGGTACAGGGCGGAGTAAGATGGGGGAGACCTAACCCGGGAAGCCTGGGGAGCCGTGGACAGGGTCTCAGCATACGTGGGGGGTGGGGTGAAGTTCCCCAAGGGGCGTCTCTCCAAGGCGGGGCTTCGCTGTGCCGTGGGCCTCCTCTCCACCATGGGGCTGTGAGACGTTATGTGTCTCTGCGGCCGAGGGCTCCTGTTGGCTATGCTGGGGGGCTGCGGAGCTGGGGTCTGCCCCCCGAGATGCCTTCTCTCTACCATGGGGCTCCGCTCCATCTGGCCGGTGCTCCCTGGTGGCTGGATCCCAAAGGGCCTGGCCGTCCTGTTGACCACGGATGGGGGCTTGGCCAGTGTGAAGTGGACCTCGCTGTACAGCTTGGTGGGCGTGGTGGCGGCTGCCCGCCCAGACGTCTCCTGTTCTGCTGACGCTGCTGAGGCACTGGGCTGGACATCGATGAGCAGGGAGCTGGACATGAAATCTGGGGCTGGGGGCCGGGAGGTGGAGCTGGGAGCGGTGGTAGATGGAGCTGATACCTTGTCAATTAGGAGTGTGCTGGATCTCACCTCCACAGCCAGTTCCTGGGGCTGCCCACCAGCACACAGGGTGCTGGCTTTAGAATCTGGCACTGTGCCATTTGGTGGGAGTTGTGCCTCCAAAGAATTCTCTTGGAGGCTAGAAAACGGCAGGCTCTGAGGGGTGACCGTCGCCGGTGGATTCTGATTGACATCTGTGGCTGGCAGGTTGTGGTTGCCATTAGAAGCTGGTGTGATGAGTGCGGCATTGGAGGAGGCCAGGTTTTGGTTGACATCTGCAGCTGAGCTGTGGACCTCAGCTGGAGGAGGGGTTGGTGGACTCTTCTGGGTTTCTCGGTTCTGGGACAGGTGAAGCCCATTGGCCGTCAGCAAGGCTGCGTTCTCCTTTAAATAAACCACCAGTGGCACCTCTTCCTCCTCACTAGCCACCTTCTCCAGGTGCCGCAGCAAGCTGGCTTCCTCTGAGCACCCCTCCATGCTGTGACCAGGGACCCCTAGGTCAGGGCTCTGGCCGTTGGGGTTCCTCGGTGGGTCTGGCTCTGGGAGGGTGGTAGGACTCAGGCTGAGCCCTGGGGCATGGCCTGTAGGGCTGGCAGGGGGCACTCTGAGGGACTCCTGGCTGGGCTTCTGTCCCCTCCGGCCGTGGCTCTCCAAGGTGAACTCGTTCACCCTCTGCCGGCGCCTGTTGAAGAGCTGGACGCCTCGAGAGTTGGAGCTGGGAGGGGTCGTCAGCTGGGCTGCGATCTGCTGGCTCCGCGCCTTGGCCTCTTTCAGATCCTTCTCGGTGAGGCTAGTGCTTCGGCCCAATGCTGCAGGGAGGGACAGAGGCCAGGTTAGCAAACGGGAATGCGGAGCCACAGGCATATACAGACAGACAGACAGATGGTCACCCGTGACTCTCCTATAGATGATCTTTTCCTCTGGCATTTGATCTTTACTCTGGTTTCCTAGAATACCCTCTCCTTATAAAGATCCCTGACCCAGCCATCATGGCCCAACTCAAATGCCAGCATCAAATGCCAGCACCTGTGTAAAACCTTTCCTGATCACTGTGTCAGGACTAACCAGCCCTTCATTTGGAGCCTACAGGTTGCTGAAAGAACTCAGGAAGACCTCACCCTAGCAGTCCAGGCCCCACTACATCCCCGTCTCATTTACCTTCGCCTCTCTCGCTAGGCTCTGCCTGGCTGGCTTTCTCTCAGTTTTTTGAAAATGCCAAGTTTGTTCCTGCCCCAGGGCCTTTGCACTTGCTGTTCCCTCTGCTTGGAACGATTTTTCTCCCAGGTGGCCATTCCTGGTTGGTTCCTTCTTGCTACTTAGGACTTGCTTGAATGTTATCTCTCTGCAGGGCCCTTCCTCTGCAATCAGCCCTCCCCTTTCCTATCTCATCTCTTTGTTTTATTTTCTTCATGACATTCACCACAATTCAGAATTATTTTCTTTATCTGTCCCTCCCACCTAAAATATAAGCTCTAAGAGGGCAATGGCCTTGCTTCACTTGTTCAGCACTCTGACCCTGGCTCCTAGAACAGCAACTGGCATAAAGTGGGCTCTCAGTGAGCTTGACTAAATGCACAAAAGAACCCCCAGGACACTTTCTATGTGCCTTTCTTAGGGCCTTTACATTTCAAACTCATAGTATAGTCATTTGCTAACACGGACACTAACACTTCTTTTTTTAGAATAGGCAATATATTCACATGATCTTAAAAAAATGAAAAACATTAAAAAGTATACAGTGTTCAAAGACATAAAAGAAAGTATACAGTGAAAAGTGTCCCTCCACCCTTGAGAGCCTCACTCCACAAATCATGTAACAACTGTCATTAGTTTCTTCTATGTCCTTGCAGAGTTTCTTCCCATTTTTATTTAAGCAATCATTAAAAATTCTCATATTTTAAGACTATAAAAGTAATAAATTGAACTAATTTCAGCAGCAACTATACTAGAACATTGCATTGCTTCATTTTATACTCTCAAGAACGCTAGGAGACAAGCATTCCTTGCCCTTGTTTTACAGAAGTGGAGGCCTAGAGACCTGTAAATAACTCGCCCAGAGTCACACAGCAAAGGGTGGCAAAGCTGGAGTCAGAACCAGTTCTCGTTGGGTCCACAGCCCATGCTTGTTTCAAAAGGTCCCTTTGGGACGTACGGGAAACACAGTCAGTAGGGTTCGGGGTTCAGTCTGGAGCTGGAGTCTGGGGCTGGAGGTCAGGGATCAGGCTGTGGTCAGATCCCTACTAACCTGTAAGTTCACTGTGGGCAACTACTTCTCTGTATATCCCCAGTGCCCAGCTGGCACACAGTGGTGCTCAATTTATGCTGTTGAACAATGACTGAACGAATGGATGCATGGACACATGGACTGAGGGACAGGTGGATGGGCCAGGCTGCGCTCACGATTAGCAGCTCATTCAGTGGCTGAGGAAATTCCTCCCCCACTGTGCCCCACTGTGGGAAGCTAATTAGTTCTTGAGGAATCTGACCTTGCCCTTCCTCCTCCCTTGCCCTCATTAGCACTGGCCATGACATGCTGAGTGAGTGTCCAGGGACAGTCTTTCTAGGCATCCTGCCAGCAAGGCTCAGAATTCAGGGACTCTCAGAGCTGAAAGGGCCCTTATAGAGGAGCAATTTCACCCCCACCCCCATTTTAAAGATAAGGAAACTGAGGTGCAGAGAGTAGTGCGGGGAGAGCTCCCACTAGGGTCAACAGGGAGGCCACACAGAGCAGAGTGGCCGCAGATAGCAGTTTCACTGGGACCAGGCCCAGCAGCCACAGGCTGTCTGGCCTCAACCTCCTTCTTTCTTCCTCCCATCAGGATCTGCCCCCCCAAACACCTGTGCCCACCTGGGGGGAGATTATCAGGGCCCAGAGAGGTCCCTCAGCTCACAGGGTCCATCTCCTCTGCTCTGCTTAGAAACCAGGCCTCCTGGCCCAAATCTGGGCTTTGCCATTTGTTAGCTGCATGACCTTGGCAAGTGACTGCACCTCTCAGAGCCAGTTTCCTTAACTGACAAGATGATAAAAGCACTGGCATTGGGGTTGGGAGGCTACAATGTGGTCATGAATGCTGGGGGGGTGGGGCGCTTGCTGTCATCCAGCCCAGGTGCTTGGGGCTGAGGGCTCATGCTCCCCTGGGATGAGGTGGTGTTGGGGACCCCACCCTTCTCTCTGGAAGGGGGTCAGAGGTTCCTCTATCTAGCAAAGGAGAATAACTCCACAGATCAGGGTCCTGAGAGAAGAGGCGACTCTCTTAAGGCCACACAGCAAGGGATTCCAGAATTCTGGTGGTGGCAGGCAGTTATTACCCCAAGTTATAGAACCTCAGAGTCTTCCTCTTTCCAACCTGACAGCCCTGCAGAGACTCACAGACACAAAGCACATCCCTATGAGACAAGGTCAGGATAAACGTCCCCAGTCCCACTGATGCTTCTTAGGACACAACGGCAGCGACCGTAGCTGAAGCTGATCGGGCTCTTCCTGTGTACCTCGACAAGTGCTTTATACATACTGTCGTATTTCATTCCCACGACAACCCTGTGAAGAACAGACTATTGTTATCCATTTGTTAGTGAGAAAACCAAGGCTCAGAGAGGTAAAGTGAGCTGCCCAAGGTCACAGAGGCAGAAAGTAGCAGAGCCATGTGTGAGCTCCAACCTTTCTGGCTATGAGGTTCCCACAGTGTGAGGCTCAGAGAAAGTGCTTCGGTTTGACTAACCCAGAACTCCTAAAGCCCCAGAACTCCTAAAACTTTCTGTTTTCCCCCCTCACTTCTCTTCTTCAGTCCTATCCCCAGGCTGCTTCTAAAGGCCATGGGTTTAGAAAGTTCTCAAATGTAGAGTGTGAAGGTCTCAGGGATAAGCTGGCCTGCGAGGCTTAGAGAGGGAAAGGGTTGCAGAGAAGGCGGTGGGCTGGACCGGGTCTGCTGACCCCCAGCTGGACTTAGAGCCTCCCCCACGCTGCTGTTCTGGGGCCAGAGGGACATGGCAGAAAAGGCCAGGAGGCGAGAAAGTGCAGCCTCCAATGAAGCTCCCATGCCCTCCACCCCAGCCCACAGTGACTCCATGCAAAAGGAATTCAGCAGGAGGCTTGAACCAGACCCAGCTAGCAAGCCAGATGATTTTTGCCACCCTGCATAAACAAAGCTGAGAGAAGGGGGCTGGGCCAACTCCCGGCCCCAAGAGTCCCCCACTGCAGGGGACCAGGGGAGGCAGTTCCCTCCCAAATTCCTCCGACAAGGGAACTGCCACTCCCGGCAATGCCCCAGCCAGCGGGTCCAAGATTGTGCTCCCTGGTGTCAGAAAGGCAGGAGGTGGCCAAGGGCCACAGGGGACAGGCACCTCGCTGAGTCCCCAGTCTGCCTGGCTATAGCCCACACCTGTGTAAGTCACAACACCCCTTCTCTTCTCTGAGCCTCTACAGGGCCAGGTTGGGGTGCTGGCCCTCAAAATGGATCAGGAGCTCTGAAGACAGGCCTTCAAGAGAGGAAGGGGAGGGCAAGTGCAAGGAAGACCTGCCGGAGGGGGGCAAGGGGGTAGAAGACCAGGGTTCAATCCCTAAATGGGGGGTAGGAGGCCCTGAGTAGGGCGTTGGAATGAGGGCACAATGGCTACTGTGATTATTGAGGCCTCACTGCAGCCCAGGTGCTGTGCTGTGCACTTTACACGCAACATCTTTTCCAGCCCACCCAACAATCCCCAGAGATAAGATTGTTATTCTTCCCAGTTTGCAGATGAAATCGGAGCTCAGAGAGACTTGCCCAGGGTCACACAACTTGTAAGTAGCAGAGCTGGGATTCAAAACTCAAAGTCTGGCTGCCGCGTCTCATTTCTTAGCCACTCTGCCTTCCAGACCCTGACTCTGGAGGGAGGAGCGCGGATAGAGGCTCCAGTCAGCAGAACCCTGTTTCCTCACCGCATGATCAGTGCCCCGGCAGTGCCCTCTCCCCTGCATATTTGGCTGCCTAGAACAACTCATGCTTTCTCTCCCTTCTTGCTCTCAGGAGAAGAGCTGATGAACTCATTCTTACTAAGGTAGAAATGACTGCTAGGACATAAAAGACTAGTGGAGTGGGAAGAACATGTGTTGGGAGTCAGGAGACCTGAGTTCAGGCAGGGATCTGCCCTCCCGTTCACCCATCAGCTCTACAGGTCGCTGCCTGTCCTGCCTACCATCAGGCCTGTCTGGACGAAGGACCCAAAGGAGGGAGGTGGGGCAGGGGAAGGGAGGCCAGAGCAGAAGGTCAGGCCAGGGAGAGAATTCAAGGAAATGTTTCTTCACATGCTGCCGTCAGTGGGAGTCTCTAGGCCCGGGTAGGGTGGAGTGGGGCAGGGAGCAAGAGGTAGGAATAGAGGCTGGCTGGGGGCAGCTCGCTCTGGCTGCCTGGGAGCCTTGGCAATGGGACAGGTAAACAGGCTGGGTAAACTGCCTCCCCGGTGGGGTCAGGAAGGAACCAATGGCTGGCCGCTGCACAACCTCTGGCTCCGCTGGGGCAGGAAGATGAACTGGGCCTGAGTAATGGTCTGGCTACCTTGCCAGCCCCTGCCCCGTATCCTTCCCACTGAAAGAGGAAATGACACAGCCTTCATTCTCTGGAGAGTTCTCCATCCATGCCAAAGTCCTGGTGAGAGCGACCTGACCGAGTCCCGGCAGACTGCCAGACCTCCTCTCAGAAGAATAATTCACACTAAGGTGGGAAGGACTGCCAGGACATGAGATGCATAGGAACGAGAGTGGGGAGCCCCACACCTAGCTCCTTGCCACTAACAGAAGTCACCATATGCCTTTCCCTTGATACCCGGAGGGGGA